CAGGTGAATAAAAAGCCAACTGCGACAAAGGTATTACTGAATTTTCAAAGAACTAAAAAGTACAGTAAACAACGGCTTTCTTTCTTTGGTGAAACCTTGGTTCCATTTCTTGGAATCAAAAGAGCTTATTAAAAGATTTGTTAATTAATCGATCAAATCATTTTTCATCATCCGATACCTCAAAAGTGACAAGAATTTCTCATGATATTTACTGGTGCTGCATTTTCCATGCAAGCCAAAAGTCAGCTTAAAATTATCATAAATTAACTCTTGGTCAAAGAGTCTATTTGAGAATTAGAAAATTACCTTTGACCCTGCGATAACCAAATAGTAGTGACCATTAACGAATTTTACAGCGGTTATTGGTGCACTTATTTTTAATTGCTCGTATTTTGAAAATGATAATCGTTTTCCTCTTAACTGTAAAGTTTACAGTTAACTTGTGGAAAATATGGAGCTCGTACATACAGTGGGTTTTTTATCAAAGCGATTAAGCGAAAAAATTATTCGCAAAGGCATAAATTGAAAAGGAATTTTGGCTTTTCATCCCTCCCATGATTTCGAACGAACACACAATTGATAAGCAACTGTTTACTTGTATAATGAAGGCATTTTCTGTTCCAATAATAATAATTAAGGTATCGAAGAAAGGAAGAACATCCATGCATTTAATAATCATGTTCATTTCGTAGCTTGCGATCTGTCCACATTTAATTTTCCCGCCAACACCCATAGCACAGGTATTTTCTGCTAACGGTAGATGTGATTTCTGAACATTTCCAAAATAGAACTTTAATATAAATTCAAAATGAAATTTTGAGGGGAGCTTCAATTTCACAAAAGGTAACACTAATGCTTATTGTTTCGGTTACAATTTTACTTTTTTTCCAATTTTAATGTAAAGAAAACTGAAAAATTTTCAACTGATTTTGAGCACAACAGATATTGAACATGAATTAGTCCATATTCTCCATCTTTTACTTTCCCGATTTAATTCCGAACTTCATTCCAAAGCCATCATCTCAATTCATCAATCTATTGACTTTAATAACTACTTTTAATTAAGGTATGTTATGGTTTTAAAGGCTAACATTTAAATGAAAATTATAACTAACATTAATGCACCTGTTGTCGCGTCCAATGTAAGGCAATCCAACGCTATCGATGCCTACACGACATTTATCAATGTTGTACCAAAATGCTAGTTTGATTTTTTCCATTTTGTAGACACAAATAGCTGATTGTTGGCTATTTTGGTCAGCGAATGCAACGATCAATTTATTATCAATAAGTGAAGCGGCAGTTGCGCGATTGTAGTTGCTGTCGTCAATTCCATGGCATTGAATTTCGATTTCTCCGTACGATATGTATCTGTTTAATTCAAGTATGTTTATTTCGCAGAACATGTAAACCTTTGAATGAATTATTACCAGACAGCTTGGAAAAGTTGACAATTGTTTGCTTATTTTTGACAAACAAGGACCAGATGAATAAATAGCTTTCTATTTCAAGAACTTATCATCTTCTTGTTTCTTATTTAAACATAAATTTTTTGAAAAAAATTCAACAAAGAAATTTGAATATTTTTGAAAATTTTAAAATTTAACCTGTGCTCATTACGACAAATTCGTATTAATTTAGAAGCAGTGAATGGTGATCTTCCATTTGACAAATATTTATTTTGCACACTTAAGTAGTAAACATAGTGCTCGTGAAAAAAATGCCGCAATGAAGTAAACACGAAAACGAGAGCGATACTCAGTTCGGATATGAACTGCTGCTTCACCCTCCAACGACCCGGAACCAATGATGTCGTAATTAGGCGGCTTGCGGGTAGATACTAATGGAATTGATCCTCTGAAAGATCTGAGGAATGATTGGAAAAGAACGATTAATTTAAGTTGTAAGTTATGGAATATGAATTCAAATATAGACTTCCCATATATCCTGGAAGGGAATGTTTTAGTTCATTGCTAACACTAATTTTGGTTTGTATTTCTTTGTAAATAAACGAGCAACTAATGATGCAAATCTTTAGCTACTGCAACCAGCTGAAGAACTCATATTTCGAGTTTCTAAAAAAAACAGAATTTGTGATAGAATTTGGAGTTTCGAAATTCAAATCAATTTAACAAGAAGATTTCGCAATAATCCAAATGCAAACCTTTCGTGCTACCCAGAAAATTTTTCGGTCTCTTCTATGCATCATAAATTAAAAATTGAGGAAAACGCGAAATTTCAGACTTACCCGTATGGCGAATCATTGGTGACAGTAGCAGCAACATATAAATTGCTATTGCTGTCCACTAATGACACACAAGTGGCACCGATATCATTAGGCGCAACTGTTATCGAGGAATTACTGAGTATGCTTAAATCGTCAGTTGACCTGATTTGGCATACGCCTTGTTTCATAGTAGCACAGACAATCAAGCCACCTCTGGGTAAAGTGTGCATAATCTTGGTAACATAATCGGTAAGAGATGGGGTTGCTCCAGGCAGACATGAGCTGGAATCATAATTACATAATGGACTGTCCAATTGGGGGCCTATCCTTCTGTTCTTCAATGCTTTAAGATCCTTCAAATCCAAGATCGACAAATAGTTCAATGATGATACGTACACCTGGAAGAACTTCCTTTAGAAAATTATTTTTGTTACCAGTTACAAACTTTTCTGATCTTACTCTAAACCCATATTCTGATTTTAAATTATAATCATGCAATGACAACGAAGTATGCTGTGTAAGACTTATCATCGTAAGCTTCGTTTGAAAGATTTGTACGCAGCCTCTACAAAGCTACGCAAAAGTTGGGAATCCTGTATTATTGATCAAAAATTTTTGATTTTCAAGTTAGAAAATAAAAATACGCAAAAATGATAGTTGCAAAACAAGACTTTAACTTGTTTAAATCAATTTTTATTCAGCTAAAGGAAAATTCTCATTGCCCACCACATTTTTTACTTTTTATTTTCAAGCGAATGATGGATTGTCTGCTGTACTTCAAATGGTAACACTGATTGACTGTCAGTATGCGTTTACTAACAACCAATCACAATGAATATTTCCTAATCTTATTCCGGCCCTTTAAAAACAGAAACGACAAATGAATATCGAAAATGATTGCAGGGAAAAGAAAGAGAGGGAGAGAAAAACAAAAAACAGAGTAGAAAATAAGTATGGTACCCGATCTTTAATGATTTCAAAGTGAAATATTTTCGCTTGCAAATCATTCGCTTCAGTCAACTTATGAGCCCATAGTACCTCCATAATTGCGCATAATGCAATGACGACAATGACCATTTAAGCATTCTGCAACTTCAAATCTTAAAATTTTCTTTTACAATTAAGAAATTTGAAATTATTTTAAAGTTAAAATTTTTCTGAAATAGTTCCAAACGAAGAGCAAAAGTAAATATATGGTGAATAGAAGGAGCAGCTGGACAGCTCAGATGATCGATTTTGCTTAAATCATTTCTAAAGTTACGAAAGCATCCCAATGCACCTCACTTGTATTATATTATGTATAATTATAATCTTCCAAATCTTTATGTTAATTTTGTAGAGAATCATGAAGAATTTTTATATGATCAAATGGATCGCTTTATCTTGAAATCAAATAACGAAATAATGAAATTTAAACTTTGTAATTAGGGAATGGAGGACGTTTTTAAGATTCCACTAGAACATTAAAATTTTTTGTTTTTAACGTCGAAATTTAACAGTTCTAGCGATAGAGAGCAATTTTGACTACAAATACTTTTAGTCAGTGGAAATCATTTCAGATGGGGAACAGGACAAATGAAATGTTAGAAGAAATGAAAGAATAAAAAAAGTAAACTTTTATACCAGAAATCTAATGAACCTGTCTAGTCTATAGTGAAATGCATCTGGGTAAATGTTCCTGGATAAATGCAAGGAGGAAAAGGTATAGACAGAAAAACAGGAAAACTCGCCAACTAATTCGTGGATGAGAAGTCATTGAAATTAACTGGATGACCTTTCCAAATTTTCAGAGACATTATTTGACTATGCTGTACGTTGAACTTCCCCACTAGAAGTTCGAACATCCAGGGAAATCCAGCTGTTTGCTGGTATTAACTAATTATTTTACAAAAGCGCATCCTGCGACACTTTTCCTGCTTCACAAGTTTAGGTTCGAAAAATCGAAAGGAAACAAAAGTGTCAATGAAGACATTCGATCTTCTCTTGAACTTAAAGCAATAAGCAATGATGAAACTTGTTGAAACGTTTTTTTTAAAGGAGAAAAACAAAAATGCATACATTTTGAAAAATAGGGAATTCGAACAAATCGAGCAAGCAAAATTTGAGCATTGGCGCAGCTTACTTATCGAAGAAATGGTGAAGTGAGACAGCCTTGAATGTTTACTTTAGAAAAGATTGGGTTTGAAAAGCTCTGATGGATGGAGAGAATTAATTAATACTAAAAAGAGTAATGTTTAGAGATCGAACTTCCGCGTGGGCATGCGATGAAAAAAAAGAAAGGAAAAAAAAGATTAAAGCTAACCGTTTTGTCAGTGAGCCTTTCGTAATAACGAACAGAAAATAAATGTATAGATAATAAATCAATCAGATCTGAGAATACCAGAAATATTAGATATCACTTGTTCCATACCCGTCAGAAAAAGACAAGATGAGATCAAGAGGCTGCAATATTGACAACCACCCATTTCGTCCGTATCTCACGCTCCGGAATAGGGAAGCTTAGATTCATAAAAGGAAATCCCCATTGGGATTCAACAGTACTGCGCATTTTGCTGCCACTCAACCAAACATAAAATTCAATTTCGTCCCTCTTTGCAACAAAACTGATTTATTTCTGTTTATGTCTGCTTTCTATTTTCTTCCCGTCCTTTTTCCTCAGAATTTCAGGACGTTACTATGCAGAATATCTCAAGATTGTTCATTATTTAATCCGCTACTTGAAACGTTGAAATATCTTTGTCCATCCCACAGTGATCCACTTGCTACTGTTTAAAGTCCTTATATTAACAGCAGTAGCGATAAAAATTTCTTTCATAAGTCACATGGTAGAACTTATTACGGCCTAAATTGACTCAAAAAATATAAACACATTATAATATGTTTCAAATAGCTTGGAATTATCATTGAGTAATTGCACAAAACTTTACAGTGCTTTCAAAAAAATTTTGATATTTCATCATCTATAAGTTAGTCGATAGATAGTGAATAAGGACGAACGATAGTTATTATAAAATATTGATGTTAAAATGAAAATTTAATGGTACGAATAAGAAACAAACGAAATTTGACGGGAAGAATAGAATCACGACAACTGCTAGAGTTTAGCATTGGTTCAAAGCCTTTTTTTGTTCATGGATTAACAATATACGACAACAATATGAAGATCTTTTTTTAACCGAATTTTTAATGTCTAGTTAGTTTCATGAGGTTTTTCAATCCCTGAGAAAATCTTTTTTTTTCTCACATTGTTTTTTTGTTCACTTTCACTGATTTTTGTTCACTGATTCACTGATCTTTGTTCACTGATCACTGATCACTGTTCACTGTTCACTGATCTTTGTTCACTGATTTTTATTCCAGAAATCCAGAGTACAGGCAAATTAGTGACACAACGAACATTTGTTTCTTTTTTTTTTTGTCGCATGGATTTATTGCCAATAATATTAAGCATGAAAAAAAAAGTGAAATTCCAGTAATTGTCTACAATCAGAGAACTTGCTCACTGCAACAGTTCAAAATAAATTCCTCAACTATGTTATGCATTTCGAAAGCTTGAAAAAAATCTCTAAAAAGCGGAACTATTCGTAACGAATACAAAGTTTTGGATAATAACTGCATAAACTTCTGCCAATGAAAAAATTCAAATGAATTTAATAGTATGAGAAAAATCTTCATAGGCATGCGTAATTTCGTGAGTTGGCCCTTAAGTATCCTTTATCACGAAATCTACCAGGCTGCTTTTTCTTACCTTTTCTCAATGTTCTGCTTGAACGATTCTATTCATTACTCTACGAACTTCTTGAAGTAACTGAATTGCCATTTTAAACCTCACATTGTCATCTGTAATTTATTAAAATTAGAATTTTCTAAATGCAAGCAAAATCTGATCCTGACTCCCTAAAAGACAGTTATAAATTGGAAAACCTTGGACTTTGGTTCATTAATGTCACACAATCATCACTGTAAATACTGAACGTTCCAAATTCTTTGTTCAAAACTTTTGTAAGGCACAAGTTCAGCCTTATTCGCGCTTTTCATTTGGTCTCTAAAACTACTATTTTTTTCTCTAACACTAAGCTTTGATTACCACATTTTAGAATTCATTTCCAACGACTTTCTCCGTGCAACATGGTTTTTCCCAGTATCCTTCGTAATCATTTTGAAATGAATTTGCTGGAAGCATATTTTTAATGCAAAACGAAATATGAAATACATAACAACACAAAAATTCAATAACAACGAAAATCGAACCATCACTCATTTGAAGTACCTGGAGAAGTTAAACCGAGCTCTTGATAAATTCTTTTCATAAAAACAAGAAACTAGCGGTACCAGAAGGCCAACAAAAATTTGTATCAAATAAGTGTGATGAAAAGTAAATTCTTAAGCCAATAAATCATCGAACTAAATGTTAAATTGCTAAGTTTTTTATTTTGAAGAACCATGAAATATCATCTACTCTTTGAGCATAGTAAGTGCAATAAATAACAAATAAAAATGGTCAACATAATTTGATTACGGAGCAGAAATAACGGAGACATTTACAAAAGTATATAAATATGAATAACACAAATAATGTTACAATCAATACGATAATATACCACAAACAGAAATATTTCAAAACAATTCTCAAAAAAGTAAAAGATTTTTTCTCCGGAATTTTTTTACATTTGACGGTAAGATAGCATAAGCAGCGATAGAAAAGCACACTCAAAAACGTACATCTCCAAGAAGCAAATTTATCATATTAGCAATGATATATTCCTTTATTATAAAAATTCTTAATTTAGGGTCAGTATCCCATTAATGCTATCAATTAACTAGTTAAGAATTTCGTAGTTTGAGATGCTAAGTCTTATTCGTCGTTTCAAACGTCGCAATTCAAAATTTCATGTAGTAGGGATAAAACAATCAATAGAAGACCATTAAAATGAATGGTTATATGAATATATGAAAACTATATGAAAACTACATGTGTAAAGCAAATAAAACAGAACATTTAATTGCGAAAAATGACAGCAGGCTTTTTTTGCTTTATGAAACGCCTGAGGCTAACTGTCATCTTCATTACCTGAGGAATCATCACATGCGGCAACCGCTTCAGTACCGTAATAGCGATCGCCAAAATTACCCATTCCAGGAATGACATAGTATAGTTCATTGATATGCGGATCCACAGCGGTTGTCAGTAAAGCAACCTGAAAACCAATAAACAGCATGACCATTGTTGAAATAATAATAACTTCTGGTCAGTGAAATAAAATGTTGAGACGTACTTTAGGAAAAGCATAAGCAAGTGAATGTACACCAGTTCCGGCCATAAGCAGCGATAATAGTAGAATATTTTCTTCAAGTACATCATGATCCAGCAGTACACGAATAGCCATCATTGCCGCCGCGCCTGTAATAACATATACATATTATAATGTTAATACTATTGTGAAACCAAGCCGGAACATCTCAGGTAGTAAGATAGTAATAATTAGCATTATTTCAGTGACATATTTTTCTGAAGCCAGAAAAGTTATCTAGCCTACGAGGTTAAATTCAAGTTTGGAAAGATATGAAAGTGGATAAAAAAAACCACGAAGTAAATTCAGAAAATGAACAGCTGGGAACAACTGTGCCAGATGCATGGTGCATCTCATAAATAACTGACCTTGATAATATCCACATAGCTCTAACAGCAAAATACTTATACAGAATTTTCGATATTGCTTCTAAAAGCATAGTAAGAAGAACCGAAAAAAAACCTGTCGCAACAGTGGCATCCATCAAGAGAACTTTATATTGATGAATATTCTTCGGCAAGCGCAGATAAAATAACTCTGGTTCCATAGTTTTCTCATTGGTTTGTATCAAAATTTTGCCCATTTTGCAGTCCTTTACAACAGCTCTCAACGCATGCTCCATTGTTTCACCTGCACGCATGATTGTAACACCGCATATCTGTGCTGTATTCCTTTTGCCAACAAATCTGCATATATAAATAAATATGTGATCCCATTATATATACAGATTTTCCGATAAAAACTCTTCATCAGTTAAATTTTAAAACAAATTTATAACGTAAGAAT